CTTTAGCTTTAGCTTTAGCTTTAGCTTAGCTTCAGCTTAGCTGCAGCTTAGCTTTAGCTTAGCTTTAGTTTAGATGTAGCTTTAGCTTAGCTTTAGCTTAGCTCCATCTTAGCTTTAGCTTAGCTTGGGCTTAGCGTTAGCCTAGCTTTAGCTTAGCTTTAGCTTAGCTTTACTGTTACTACTTGTGCTGCTTTCCTAGGGGCTCCAACTCTTAGGTAGGGTCGCACTGGGATAATTCTTATTATTTTTCTTATGACTGAAGATAACAATATTTGGGGTGGTGGGGGGGCTTCTGGCCAGAAAACACTTTTTTCGATTTCGCCTTCCAAGGGCCCGCTTCGTGCCTGCCAGCACCGCCAGAACTCGCTCTGGGACGGAACGTTGACCGGGACGGGTCCCAGGCAGGCTCATCGGACCTATAGGAGGAGTCTGCGGACTTTCGGGCTTGGGCGTAGCACAGCTCGGGCTCTCTCGGAGGGCCCGCGGGCCTGGAGGATGGGCCCAGGCTTGCCGCGGCCTGCCCGAATCTCACGGAGCGTGTCACTTGAGAAGGGATCCCCCGTGGCCCCCCCCTGTTGGGCCTGGCTCGGCTCGACCGCTCCGCCTCGCCTCCGCCCCCCCCATCCCCCCGCCCCCTCCGCCTCCTACTCGCTCCTCCTCGCTCCTCGCTCCTCCTCGCTCCTCCTCGCTCCTCCTCGCTCCTCCTTCTCCTCCTCCCTCCCTCCCTCCCTCCCCCTCCCCCCCTCCCTCCCTCTCTCGCCCCCCCTCCCTCCCTCTCTCCCTCCTCCGCCTCCCTTCTCCCTCTGCCCTCTGGCCTCCTCCCTCTCCTTCCTGCCCCCTCCCTCCTGCCTCCTCCCTCCTCTTCCCTCTTCCCTCCTCCCTCCTCCCTCCTCGCTCCTCCTCGCTCCTCCTCCCTCCCCCTCTTCGCCCCCCGTCGGGCGACGCCGCCCGAACCCGCCCTGAAGCCACCCGCCGGGCGCTCTCGGGTGCGGGTCGGGGGGGGGGGGTGGCGAAGCCGGGACCAGGACACCATCGCACGGGGATGCGTCACCAGACGAGCGCGTTCCACTGCTCGCAAAATGGCTACTCGCAAATGGCCTGGATCCCCCTGCAGGGGATCCAGATCATTTATATTGCCCCAGTGCGACCCCACCTAGAAGTTGGAGCCCCCTAGGGAAGCAGCATTAGTTGCTATGATATGCTATGCTCTGCTCTGCTATGCCATGCTATGCTGCGCTATGCTATGCTATGCTATGCTATGCTATGCTATGCTATGCTATGCTATGCTGCGCTATGCTATGTTATGCTAAAATATGCTAAAGTCATGCTGCGCTGTGCTAAGCTATGCTATGCTATGCCATGCTAAGCTGCGCTATGATATGCTATGCTATGTCATGCTATGCTATGCTGTGCTGTGCTAGGCTATGCTATGCTGCGCTATGCTATGCTATGCTATGCTTGGCTACGTTATGCTATGCTATGCTATGCTAATGCAGCGCTGCGCTATGCTAAGCTAAGCTAACCCTCTAGGCAGAGCCTAGGTCGGGAATTACACCCATGCTAATTACCCGAACAAAAAACTAAACTGGCAACGCGGTTGGCACACACGAGCGCCACAAAATACACCCACAGATCCGGGGAAGGAGGACCAGGAGGACCAGGACCAGGAGCTGGGGAACTGCGGGGCGGATACTGGGGGAACCGCCCGGTGCGCTTTCCACTGCCCGGCCCCTTTAAGCCCAGAGAGTAAGAACCCTTCTAGGCAGAGCCTAGGTAGGGAATTACACCCCGAAGGGGGCACAATCGAAAACGAAAACGGCGGGTATCAAGGGTTTGGGGCGTAAGTGTTGAATGGCATGCGAGCAGGGAAGAGCGAACAATCTTAAAATGATTGTTGCTGTTCTTGAAACTCTGGGGGCAGGGGGCCCGTTTGGTGACCCTTTACCTTCCCTTTCAAAGAACAGGGTGCAAGCGCCGGACGAAAATCTTTAACTGATAAGCTAAACTAACCCTCTAAGCAAAGCCTAGGTAGGGAATTACACTCATGTTATGTTATGCTATGCTGCGCTATGCTATGCTACGCTATGCTATGCTATGCTGTGCTCTGCTATGCTAAAGCTCAGCGAAGCTAAGATGAAGGTAAGCTAGCTAAGATAAACCTGAGCTAAGATGAACCTAAGCTAAGCTAAGATGAAATAGGCTAAACTAAGATGAGATAAACAACGCTAAGCTAAGGGGACGTAACTGGGGGAACCGCGGGGCGGATACTGGGGGAACCGCCCGGGGCGCGTTCCACTGCCCGGCCCTTTACGCACACCGAGTAAGAACCCTTCTAGGCAGAACCTAGGTAGGGGATTTACATCAAAGCAGAACCTTGTTTTTCGGACGTTTGCGAGTATGCACTTTGCGAGTAGTGGAACGCGCTCGGTGAGTCACACGTCTCAGCAATCCAGCGAGCCTGGAGGATACATCGACGAGCGCCGCGGGCGAGCCAGAGCGCTCCGGCACTCTCCAGGACGATCCATCCTTTGGCGGCACGCCCGGGAGCGAAGCGAGAGGGGGCAGGCCTTCTCAGGAGGAGGAGGAGGAGGAGGAGGAGGAGGAGGAGGAGGAGGAGGAGGAGGAAGAGGAGGAGGTGGCGGGGCTTCTCAGAAGCCCTCCCGCCTCCTGAGGAGCCGTGCCTGCTTCCAGAGAGGGCTCGCAGAAACCTTCTCCGAAGGCCAGCGAGGCCTTCCGAGCCTTCGGGGAAGGCCCGCCCCCCCCGTCGCCCCTCCCCTCCCCTGGCCATCGCTTGGGCGTCCGCTCCCCGTGCGCCGCTCGGTTTTCCGCGCGCTTCTTCTATGTCTTTCGCACGATGCTCCTCTGGATGCTCCCCGAGGGCCCTCGCCCTGGCCATCGCTCGGACGTCCATTCCCTTGTTTTTTTTGGGGGGGGGGTCTCGTGCGTGTTTTTTCCGCCAGATGGTCGAGGATGCTCCTCGAGGGTCCCCGCCGAGAAAGAAACGCACACGCCCGAGCGATGCCAAGCGCTGAGAAAGAACGCTCACGCCCCAGCGATGCCTGAGCCCCTGGGCTCGCCGCCGGATCCTGGCGCCCCCCCGGAGGCCCGCCCGCGGGGGGGCGGGGCGCCTCGCCGGGGCAGCGGGCCGCGGGGCCCCGCCCCGGGCCTGCCCTGTCCATCTCCGCGGCTCGGCGCGAGGTCGACGACGACGGCGCCGACGGCGTCGGCGACGACGACGACGGCGACGACGGCGACGACGGCGGCGACGACGGCGGCGACGACGACGACGGCGACGACGGCGACGGCGGCGACGACGGCGGCGACGACGACGGCGACGGCGGCGACGACGGCGACGGCGACGGCGATGGCGACGTCGACGGCGGCGACGGCGACGACGACGACGACGACGACGGCGACGGCGACGGCGACGGCCCCTGGCCCCGACAGCGCGGGAGGGCGCGGGCCCCCCGCCGCTGCCGCACGCGGCTCCTCGGGGCCGCCCGCGCCTCGCAGAGAGGTGCTGCCTCGCGAGGCGCGGCGCTCGCCGCCAAGCGGGGGGGCCTCGCGCGAGCGCCCTGCGGGGGGCGAGTGCGGAGCCGCTCGCGCGGTGCCGTGCCTCTCGGAGCTCCGAGGCTGCGAGGCTGCGCTGCGGCGCCACGCTGCGACGCCAGGCTGCGGCGCCACGCCACGACGCTGCGCTGAGACGCCACGCTACGACGCCGCGCTGCGAGGCTGCGCTGAGAAGCCACGCTACGACGCTACACTACGAAACTACGCTGAGACACTACGCCACGACCATGCTCTACGACCATGTCACGGCTGTCCGCAAGCCATGTGACGACCATGTCATGGCTATCCGCAAGCCACGTCACGCTTATTCGAACACCATGTCATGGTTGAATCCTTCTTCGCCCACAGCTAGCTCCAAAGTCGCCCGATTCCCCAAAGGACTCCAATGCCGCCCCAAAAGAAACATCGCAACGATAGGTGTCGACCCTCGTCGAAGACGTATCCCCGAACACCCGCTGATTGCGAAAGGCGTCATGAGGGCGTCCGTGCACATACTCTCCTGGAATCCGTACGATCCATTTGCGCGCCCAGGCCCGTGGTACATATGGCGGATCTGCACCCGCAAGCTCCCGGGTTGGTGAACATACGACCGATCTGCACTCCCGGGCTCGCGAGACAAGTAGGACATCAGTGAACCGACGCTCCGAGCGCCAATTCGGCGGCCCCCCTGACGGATTCTGGCCGTGTTCAGCTTCGATGGTAGATGGTGAGCGATGGAGTGATTATGAGACGGAAGATACAGTCAACATCTGTAGTAAGGACGCGCTGTAAGGACGCAAGACCCTTGGACGGTCCTTGAACGCCCCAGTTGAAGCTTTTCTAGCGGCGCACTGCCGAACAAATCTAATGACGCAAGGGCGCCCTTGGGAAAGTTACCCGCCATTGCTATGGATTTTCATTGTGAATGATATTGCATGCACGATACATTTTAGGGGCGGCTCCGCGCATTCCGCTGATCCGTAATGTCACGCCGTGCCTCAAGTCTCCATTCGGCACGTCGATGGCAATAGATCTGAACAAATGGGGGCTCCTGGAACACGCGGAAATACTGATGATCTGCGACCCCAGGCCTCTGGGACGCGCAGCAACTAGAATGGACTTGCAGCTCGACTCTCCCAGGAGCCCAACTTCGGTCCTCTTCTCACGCATGTCGTGCCACATGGGCCCGCAGAAGCCCTCGGCTGGCTCCTGAAGACGGTTCGAGGAGGCTTCAATTCGGCATGCCTCTCACGCAAGTCGTGCCATGTGGACCCCGAGAGATACCAGCTGGTATCTCAGACTGCTCAAGGAGGCTTCAATTCGGCGCGCCCCTCGGGCACTTCGAGCCTCCTTGATTTTTGATTTTTGAGGGCCCACTGTTGGCGCCAAAGGCCGCCCGATTCTCCAAGGGCTCGCGGGACAGGCGAAACCTCGGTGAGTCGAGGCTCCGAAAGCCAACTCGGTGGGGCGCACCTGCGGGCCCTGCCCGTGCTTCTCTCCGATGGCAGCTGATGAAGATGTTGCAAGATGATGGAACATTGATGAGAGAGGGACTGCGTGCGCCATGCACGCTGGGAGCCGCTCCGCGCAGTCCGCTGGTCCGCCACTGCACAGAGTCGTGCCTCCGCTCTCCCTCCGCCGCGCAGACGCTCGCCAGGCCTGCGCAGACTCTGGCTCCTGGGACGCGCGATGACTCTTCGCGCGATCGGCGTGACCGGGCCCTCGAGACACGCAACGACACGATGGGCTCGCCACTCCATGCTCCCAGAAGCCTCCACCCGGGATGCCGCGCGGGCACTTCGCGCACCGTTGCCGTGGGCATCCAGGCGCGTTCCGGCGGCCCCTCGCGATGGCTCCAGCGAGCCTCAGCTCGGCGTACATGCCCCTCATGCACTTCGCGGCACGCGTGCCCCCAGAAGCCCTCGGCCGGCCCCTCAGACAGCTGCTGGGAGCCTCAAGCCAGCACGCCTCTCACCCATCTCGTGCCAGATGGCCCCACCCCAGGCAGACCCAGCTAGCATCTCAAGACGGTTCGGAGAGGCTTCAGTTCGGCACACCTCTCACGCACTTCGTGGCTGCTGGACCTCCGGCAGCCCACAGCTAGCTCGCCAGACCGCCCGATTCCCCCGTGAACGCAGTTGGCGACACAGAGGACACATTGCAAGGATTGGTGCTGGCCCTGGTTGAAACTGTACCCCCGAACCCCGAATCGATTGTGAAATTTGCGTTCCAATGTTCTCCGTGGGGAGGCCAGCCGTGACTCTCGCTCTGCGGGCACAGTGCGCTGGAACAGCGAACGCCCACAGTCGCGGGACCTGTCTGCCCCTGGCTGTCCCGCTGAGGCCGTCGCAGTCCGCATCCGCGAGCACCCAGATCGCCTTCAGCGTGTCCGTCAGCAGCCCCGACCTCTCGAGGGGTCCGCGGACGTCCTCAGAGGAAGAAGCAAGTACATAAACAGGAACGTTTGGAGCTCCGCGCGGACTTCGTGGATCTGCGCCGATCCAAGAGATCCGCGCGGAGCTCCGACAGTCCGTGCTCGTGCGTTTTTCTCCTCCTCGAGTCCTGGCCCTCCACGAAGCCGTCCCGATCCTCGTCCAGGGCCTCTGCTGGGCCGCCGGGAGACGGAGACGGAGACGGAGACGGTACGGGGGCCACGACCTAGGCCGAGCGTGGAAGTGCCGTGCTGAGTTCGGTCCGCGCCGATCTCGGCCAGCGTCCATTCGTGGATCACCCTCGCGACGTCGGCGACGGCCGACCTTGGACCATCACCAGGATTATGTCGGGCGTGTCCCCCTACAAGGGGATTTTGGACGAAAAATCAAAGATACCCCCAAAAGGTCAAAACATACTAGAACAAATAGTCCCCAGACTATGTTTGGATCATCTCTTTCAATTTTTTTTTTTTTTTTTTTTTTTTTTTTTTTTTTTTTTTCCGTCGACAATCCCCCTGTTGGGGGACACGCCCGACTTAACACCAGGGTCGGCACCGACGAGACCCAGCGACACCTTGGCCGCGGACCCCCCCCTGCGGCGCCCCCGCAGAAGCTGGCGCCGGGGGGCGCCCAGAGGGCCGCCGCCTGCACCTCGGGGCGCCTCGGCGCGCCCCCGCACCGCGCGGCGAGCTCGGGAGCTGCGAGGCCCCGCGCAGCCCAGGACAGGCGACGTCCAGAGGTTTGCTCGCTGCGCGGTCCTCCTCCTCGTCCTCCTCCTCCTCGTCCTCCTCCTCCTCCTCCTCCTCTTCCTCCATTCCTTTTCCTCATGAGTCGTGCCGTGCCCGTGCCCGTGCTGCGCGGCAGCTCGTGCCGTGCCCGGCGGGCCGTGGCGCGCGTGCCGCGCGGCGTGCCCGGCCCTTCCCCCAAGTCTTCCCCCACGTCTTCGGTCGGGCATGTCCTCCTGCAGGCGGGTTCTGGACGACAGATGGAAGCTGGTCCCCGAAGGATCCGACACAGCCAGAGGAGCACGACGAATCGTCACCATACTGCTGTGGTGTTATTCCTGGATGCTCTTCCCGTGGGGGGACATGCACAACTTAACCCAAACCCTGTCTTTCATCCTGACGCGTTCGTTGACGCTCCCGGGCCCAGTGGGGGCCCCCAGGAGCTGAACACGGGGCAACACCGCCCGCCCTGATGTTTTTGCCCCGACATGTTTTCTCACGTCTTCTTGTTTACGTCGCGGCGCGGCACGAGGCACCCCGCTCGCGCCTCGGCGCGAGACCAGGACACCCGGAGTCGCGAATACGCCCGCACGCAAGAGGAGGAACGGCGCGAGCACGTCTGGGATTAGGTCGGACACGTCCTCCTACAGGCGGATTTTGGACGAAAAATTAAAAACATGCGCAGAACATATTCTCGAAAATAATAAAGTAAATCGTCCCCCGTAATATTTCGCCACCACTGTTGACTACCCCCCCTGCAGAGAGACAGGCCCGACTCGAGTCTGGGAGGCCCTCGCCTGCCGTCGGGCCCCCCCCCCCGGCGCTCCCCGAGGGGCCCGCGCGCCAGAGGCCGCTCGCTGGCGCGAGGCCCCCCCCGGGCGCGCGAGGGGCCCTCCGTGCGCACGGCCCGCCGGCCGCTGCGGCCGCGGCCGCGCGGCGGCGGCGGCCGCGGCGGCCTCCGTGCGCGGGCCTGGGCCGCCCTGGCGTGCCAGGCGCCCCGTGTTCGGCGCACGCGGAGAGCCTCACAAAAAAAAAGGCGCGCTGCCCAGGCGCCCCCCACGCTCAGGAGGAGGAGGAAGGAGAGGAGGAGCAGGAGGAGGAGGAGGAGGAGGAGGAGGAGGAGGAGGAGGAGGAGGAGGAGGAGGAGGAGGGTCCTGGCGTGGCACCTTTCTGTGCACGAGGGGCGCTTTCGCCGGGCTTCGGGCCCCGGGGCCCTGACGGGCCGATCCGGCCCGAAGAAGGGCGCAGTAAGATGGGGGTCCGGGGCTCCGGGCGTTTTTTTTTTTTTTTTTTTTTTTTTTTTTTTTTTTTTTTTTTTTTTTTTTTTTTTTTTTTTTTTTTTTTTTTTTTTTTTTTTTTTTTTTTTTTTTTTTTTTTTTATTTTTTGTTTTTTCTTTGTTTTTTGTTTTTTTGTTGTTGTTTCTCTGTTTTTATATTTACAAAACAATGTTTAAATACTAAAGAAAGACGCTGCAAATTTTTCGCTACGTCGGATCTCAAAGGCATAGGCGCCTCCCGGGCGCCCACGTACCAGGAGCCCTGCAGGCGCTCCGGGGGCGCCCTGCAAGGGCTTCTTCCTGGGCGTGTCCTCGGCGCTGCCTGGGCGCCGTCGAGCCCCCCCCCCGCCCTGCGTCCCCTCCGAGAGCCGCGTGCTGGAGGCAACTCCAGCGAGGGGCCTCTCCGACGCGCAACTGGGCGCCAGGGGGGGGTGGCAGGCTGGCCGCGGCGGCGCGAGGGCGCTCCGGGAGGTCCACAGGAGGGCCCCTGGGCGTCAGGAGTGCAGTCCTCGAGCTACCACAGGGAACGCTGCATAAGGAACGTCGTCGTCGTCGTCGTCGTCGTCGTCGTCGTCGTCGTCGTCGTCGTCGACGCCGGCTCGTCATCGCCATCGCCGTCGTCGTCGTCGTCGTCGTCGTCGTCGTCGTCGTCGTCGTCGTCGTCGTCCTTCAGGGTCGGCGGCACCCTCCATGAACCCGAAGTGGTCCTTTCTTCAGCGCCTTGGCTGCGCAGTGCGACCAGATCGTACGGCTGCGCGGTACGGACGCAGGGCCAATGGACGCCCAGATCGAAGCCGAGGCTGGGAGCCCGTGGTCCAAGGCGACGGGTCAGGATGGGCCGAGCTGCGATGGCACCCGTGGGAAACTGCTCACTCTTACGATCCCGTGTGGATGCACTGGCGTGCGCGGCTTTTCGTCTTTTCTTACTCTTACATGACTCTTACTCTTAAAGGTTACTCTGTCTTACTCTTACATTACGTTACATTCCATTACTTGACATTACACACTCTTACTCGTGCGCGGCACGACTACTCACTCTTACTCTTACATTCTTTTCTCTCCTCCGGCGCGCGCGGCTTCTTCGCGGCGCAGGCCCAGCGGATCTCGACCCCTTCCCTGGATCAGCACTTTCGGCCAGAGCCCTCTTCGGACAGTGCTAGGGGCCGGGAGAGGGCCCTCAGGGGCCGAAGGCGTTACGCAACTGGTCGTCGCGGTTTTTTGTTGGCGGCGCCCAGATCTGAGGGAATGCCGAAGCTCGGAGGAGGGCCACTGGAGACAATGTCTGCTCTCCCGCCTGGCTCAGATCCGCCCCAAATCTGTCCCCAAATCCCTCCCAGGGTCCATCCCGACCCTTTTCGTGGGGCGGATCCGCCCGTGACGACGAGAAGCTTCCAGGAGGCCCAGGGAGGACGAAGAAACGCAACTGAGGGCCGCTGCCACTTCGACTGGCCCTCCTCCTCCCAGACCCCCGACGTCATGATTCATTCTTGTGGACCCGCGGAGGTCTCGACACCTTCCCCTGGACCTGCTTTTCATCCTGAGCCGTTTTTGAAGGTCCCAGTGCCTGGTAGACTGGAGACCCATGCCAAGAAACACCCTGCTCGCCTCCAGGTTGCCCTGGGCTTCTTGGGTTCATATGATTCTGCGATGGAAAGCGTGACGCTCCCACACCAAAAAATCAATGGAAGTCCTGGGGTCTCAGGGACGGGTTTCTTGTGGAAGGTTCTTTGTGGTCGGGCCCCTACTAGAAGGGCCCCCCGCAGAACGAAACATGCCCAAACTGTCCGTCGCGTTTTCTTCACGGCGCGCGGGGGCTCGGCTCCGCAAAACACCTCCAGGGACTCCGCTGCCTCCCGCCGCCTCCCAGCCGGCCTCGAACTCGGCGCCGTACCGCGCCAGCTGTGCGGGCTCTGGAGCCCACCTGGTGAGCAGGGCGCGGACGCTGACGGCGACGGCGGCGGCGCCGACGACAACGACGATGACGCCGACGACGACGACGACGACGACGGCGACGGCGACGACGAGGAAGGCGACGACGAGGACGACGACGACGACGACTGCTGCGGCGACGAAGGCGAGGGCGGCGACGACGACGACGACGACGAGGGCGGCGACGACGTTGACGACGGCGGCGGCGGCGGCGACGACGAGGGGGCGACAACGATGACGACGACGACGACGACGAGGGCGGCGACGACGAGGACGACGACGACGACTGCGGCGGTGACGACAACGACGACGAGGGCGGCGACGACGACGACGACAACGACGACGAGGGCGGTGACGACGACGACGACAACGACGACAACGAGGGCGGCGACGGCGACGGCGACGACGACGACGACTGGAGGCCCACTTCCAAAGGCCCAGGGGGGGTCTCTCCAGAATTTCCAAAAAAACTCCTGGAGGCCAACGTGCGAGCGTCAGGTGGCACAGGCCTCCCGCTTCCTCACCGGAGAAAGAAGCGCACCCCTCGAACGACCAGCACAATTTGGCCTGCCATTGTGGCGGGGGCCGCTCTCTGAAACGAAACTGCTTTGTCTCTCTCTGGCGCGTAAGCAGAAACGCGAAAAATCAAGGATCACACAGCTCAACGAGGTGTCCCCTTTCTAAACAGCTCAACGCGAGAAATCAAACAGCTCAACGCGAGAAATCAATGCGAGAAATCAATGCTCAAACAGCTCAATGATCAAACAGCTCAACGCGAGAAATCAATGCTCAAACAGCTCAACGAGGGTCACCCACCCAGATGGGTAATTGATATTGTGCGAACCTTGACCATGTGATCACGAGCTTTGAAGGGTGTTATTAAAAACAACAGCTCGTTTTTCTGAAGCCGCCATGGAACCGTGCAACGCTACGTACGTTGACATACCGGGTCGTTGAACTTAACGAAGTCTCAGAAGATAGCCCAATTTTGAGAAGAGCAGTCCTCCATACTTCTGAGCGTTGCGTTGAACAGAAGAATGCGCGTGGAGCTGAGGCGAGAGCCCCATGTTGGAACGGAATCGCCCCCTATCCGTGACGCTAATGCAAACTGTCAGAGAAATCGTGTGGGTGGCTTTCAGGCGAGAGCACCCTTCTGAAAACGACCTCTGCTCCAGCCGCGAAGCGGATGCAGGAGCTGCAGCGAGAGCAGCATCTTGAGAACGACCCCCCCTCCATCCGTGAAGCTGTTGCAAGGTTTTTAAACGAATGTGCGCGGCGCTGAGGCGAGAACGACGTTTTGGAAACAACCCTTCGCCCGTGACGCTGCTGCGTTCAAATCGAATGCGCGCGGCGTTGAAGCGAATGACACATAATGAAAACGACCCCCCTCATCAATCCGTCAAGCTGGTGGGCATTTCTAATATGAATGCGCGCGGCGCTGAAACGAGAAATGCACTTTGAAAACGACTCCCCTCCATCCGTGAAGCTGGTGCGAACTTGTCGGCCGAACGTGCGCGGGGCGAAGGCGAACACCATACTCTGAGAACGGAACCGCACTCCAAGAGTGAAACGGCTGCAGACCTCTCCTCCACGAGGTGTGCACCGCGCTCGACCGAGGACCACCTCTTGAAGCAGAGACGCCCTCCACCCGTGCAGCCGCTGCAGCTCTGACGAGCGACGTGCGCGGCGTGGAAGCGATCATCGCATCTTGAAAACGGCCCGCCTTCATGCCCGAAGCCGTGGCGCAGGCTTGAAGCGAGAGCGCGCGGCGCGAAGGCGAGAACGGCGTTTCGATGACGCCGCCTCCATCCATGAAGCTGTAGAACACTTATCCCAGCCCTCCGCTGGTGGGGTACTCGTTTTGCATAGCGCACTGTGCTCTCCAGTCCTCCTTCGACCCTCCTCTTCCTCCTCCCCCTCCTCCTCCTCCTCCTCCTCCTCCTCCTCCTCCTTCTCCTTGTTTATCACCATCTCTCCTGTTTTGGGTTCTCGCTTTGAATAGAGCACTGTGGTCTCCGTCTCCTTCATTTTCCTGATCGACAATTTCTCCCTGTCGCACCCCTGGGGGGGGTCGAAAACGGCGGGTCGGACGATTCGCTTGAGACGTCTTCACCGTTTATGAGCCTAAAGCTTAAAACTGGCAGCAAATTTACGGATGGAGGGCGGGTGGTTTTCAAACTGTGGCTCTCGCATTAGCGTTGCGGGCATTCGTTTCAACAACGTGCGAGAGTCGCGGATTGCGGGCGGGTGGTTTGCAAACTGTGGCTCGCGCTTTAGCGTCGCGCACATGTGTTTTAAAACAATTGCAAAGGTTTCGCTGGTTGAAGGCAGGCCGTTCTCAAAATGTGGCTCTCGCCTCAAAGCCGCGCACATTTATTTTGAACAGTGCAAAGAGTTTCACGGGTTGACGGCGGGTCATTTTCAAACTGTGGCTCTCGTCATAACGCCGTGCGCGCTCGTTTAAACAACATGCACGAGTTTCGCAATCGAAGGCGATTCCTTTTCAAAATGTGGCTCTCGCTGTAGCGCCGCGCACATTCTGTCTAAACAGCTGCAAGAGTTTCACTGGTTTTCGTGGTGAACGTACCGGAATGTGTGCTTTGGAACGACTTAGGGTTGTTAGGGCACGACGGTTACGTTGATTCGCGGCGTTGAAGTCCCAAAAACGGTGCTCTGGCACGAGTCAGGATCGCCAGGCCGCAGCAGTTCCGTTCACTCGTGGCGTTGAAGTCCTGAGGATGGTGTTTTGGCACGCTTCAGGATTTTCGCACGGTTTTCCACCTCCAGGGCAATTCCCCCAGTGGAAATGAGACCTTGTAGGGGCCCATGAAAAATGGAGTTTGGAGGGAGGGTGTATTCGAACTTCGTTGATGAGTCTTGGGGTTGCAGTGGTCATCCTCCTCCCCCTCCTCGCGGCTCCCTGGCGGGCTGCGAAGAGCGAAAGTATCGCCACTTTCGTGGGCTTCTCGGAGTCACGGCGGACTGGGGGGCCACGCAGACCCAGTCGAGACCTCGCGGCTCCCTGGGGTGCTGCGATGCGCGCAACTGTCGCCATTGTCGTGGGCTCCTGGGAGGCACGGCTGGGCGGGGGGCCACGCAGACCCAGCCGAGACCTCGCGGCTCCCTGCGGTGCTGCGATGAGCGCAACTGTCGCCATTGTCGTTGGCTTCTGGGAGGCACGGCGGAGTGGGGGGCCACGCAGACCCAGCCGAGACCTCGCGTCACCGTGCGCACGGAGGGGTGCTTCTGCGCACTGCGGGTCCTTCAGCATGTTCGTTCGTTTTGAGCTGTCCTGGGTGTAGTCGCCACATGTGTAGAAAAGGTTGGGTACGTCGCAAGATAATTGAAGGCATGTGCCCCGCGCTACGGCGGTAACCACATTTTGAAAACGACCCCCCTTCCACCCGTGAAACTATGGCACGTTTCAAGTTTCAAAGTCATACATGGTGAAGAAGTCTCATGCGAAACGACCGGCCCGCCGTTCTGACATGCCTGGCCTGGCCTGGGGGGTTAGTTGCAAGGACAAATGTTGGACGATGACGAATCGGAGGACCAGTGCAAACCCAATAGGCGTTATCATAAATCCCTACAGAAAATCTGCTTTCATTGCGGGACATGGCCCATTAGAAGACAACCGTCTGATCGTGCCGACAATCAGCTCCTGGGATTCTAACGCCGCGGATCAACGCGACTGTGGCGTCCATACCAGCCCAAATCCTGCGGGCTTCAACACCACGAATCAACGGGACCTTTGCGCTCTGGCAATCACAAGTCGTGCTAGAGCACCAATCAACCGTGCGAATGCTTGAAACAGTGGCAAACTGTTAAAGCGAATGTGAGCGGCGCTAAGGCGAGAACCATATTGAACAAGCATCGCCCTCCATCCATTAAACGGTTGCAATATGTTAAAACCAATGTGCGCAGCGCTAACGCGAAAACCACATTTTGACCCCCCCCTCCTCCATCCGTGAAGCCGTTGCAAACTTTGAAAACGCATGTGCGCGGCGCCAGGGCGAGAGCCATAGTTTTAAAACCACCCGCCCTCCATCATTGGAACTGTTGCGAAGCGAGCTGTTAAAACGAATGCGTGCGACACGGAATATTTGAAAAACACCCTTCTTCCATCCTTGACGCCGTGGCAACTTCTTGAGACGAGTGCGCGCGGCGCTAAGGCGAGAACCACATTTGGACAACGACTCGCCCTCCATCCGTGAAACTGTTGCAATCTTCAAAACTCAGAGGACAGTGCATAGTGAAGAAATCTCAAGCGAAACGCCCGGCACGCCCTACCGACGCGTCTCTGGGTGCGACAGGGGGAGAAGGGATGGAGAGGAAGTGGAGGAGGAAGAGGAGGATTATGATGATGAGGAGGAGGAAGAGGAAGAGGAGGAGGAGGAGGAGGAGGAGGAGGAGGAGGAGGAGGAGGAGGAAGAGGAAGAGTTGATCGTCGATGCCTTTTGTGGTGGTTTCGCACCTTGTAGCCGCTGCAGGCTGTCCCTGTCGAGGGCACTGCTGTCATCGGCGTGCTTGCTTGGGACGCCCTTTCGCTCCCACCCCCCGCGTGCCGTAGCAGCAGCAGGAGGAGGAGGGGGAGGAGGAGGAGGGGGAGGACGAGGAGGAGGAGGAGGAGGAGGAGAAGGAGGAGGAGGAGGAGGAGGAGGAGGAGGAGGGGAAGGAGGAGCCGGCGTTCAAAGCTAGTACTCAACATGACACCCTTGAGGCAGAATGCCCTGAACAGCTTCGCACAGTTACAGACGGGGGCCACGACAGGGGTGAAGGGGACATGGAAACGGGGACAGGGAGAAAGGGATGGGCACGTAGGGACAGGGATGGAAAGGATAGGGGCAATGGGGGCCACCGTGGGGTGCCACGATGGGGGGCCGCGATGGGGGGGCCATGATGAAGGGCCACGAGGGGGGCCCACCTTGCCGGGCCGAGATGAGCCACCGGGGGGCGATGGGCGGCCACGATGGGCCACCTACTTCGGGGGCCCAAGCTTCTGCACTGGGCGTGAGCATTCTCTTCTGTTGCCTGGTCAAACTTTTTTGGCGTTCTTTGGGGCCGAGCCGCCCCCCCTCGACGCACGCTTCGTTCGAGAACCGCCCCCCTCTGCATTGGCTCTCCGGCGCTCTTGTCGGCCTCCAGACGGCCAAGACGGGCCCCCAAGACGGCGAAGATGACAGCAAGGCGGCCCAAGATGTACCAAGGCCACTCAAGAGGCTCCCGGGACGGCCTCCATACAGGCCATGAGGTCTCCAAGACGGCCCGAGAGGCCTGCAAGAGGCCTTCCAGGAGAGCCCGAGGCACAAATCGTCGATCTTCCTGACGCTTTTGAAGACAGCAGCCGAGGAGCCCCCAGAGAGGCCCCCAAGAGCCGCAAGGAGGCCCCCAAGAACCCCCAGGAGGCCTCCAAGAGATCCCGAGAGGTATCTCTAGCGACTCCGAGAGGCATCCAAGAAGCTTCTGGCCCACGGAGGCTACCCTGGCTCTCCAAATGATGCCACGCTCCCCCGAGAAGGGCAGCTCCCCTGGGCATTTGTTCCTGGGCAGCTTATCTGGGCTGGTGGGGATACCCGAAGCGTTAATATTCAACATTCTTCCTGCTACGCTGTTGCACAGGCACGGTGGCTGGGTTTGCCGCAGGCAGCTGAACATAATATATATTTATATGTATATGTATATATATATATACAGGCTGTTCAGTAAAACGAATGCGTGAACATCCGCCGCCTCCCCCCTGGGCGCGGAACCAGAGAGTACAACAGCATCATATATGGAACACTGCGCAAAACGCCACGGCGACGACAAGGAGGTCGAAGGCGATGATCACGCAGAAGCGGAAGAGCAACATGGCCGTGAAGAGGACCAACCATCTTCTCCACATTGGAAATGCAAGAAAGAGAAAACGGGTGCGCGAGACAACGTGGTGTGGCCTGGAAACGTTGTTCGAACCCTCCCCCAGAATTGAACAGCTCACGGTAAACAGTCGAAGCAAATCAAGCCCTGACGCGTGTCCGATTCGCGACACCGATCGCACATCCAAGTGAATTCACCGATCTCTTCCAATCAAAGTGGCCAGCGCACCGTTCGCGGGTTGCCTGTGCGGTCGAGCTGACCTAATCAGGCGACTGAGCTGTGCAGACCAGCCGAGCAACTGTGATCGACAGACCTCCCTTTTGGCGGATCGCCCCTTCCGCCCTCCGATAACTCTCTCACTCACGATCTCATCCTCATTACGGTCAGCAACTTTGGTTTAGCGTGTCGCGGCGGCGGCCCCAACGACACGCTATGCCTTGTCAACTGATTGCGTGTCGTCGCTCCTTGGGGCTGGAGGCTGGGAAACGGCTAGGGACGTTGACGCCTGGGAATCGGGAACTTTTTAGCGTGTCGCGCCGAAGCGTGGTGGGTCAGGATTGGCAGCGCGACATGCTAAGCCAGAACTCCAGACCGTAAGGAAGCACGCTCCAGTCACCACCACGGGCGCGCCTGGAGTCTCCTGGGGCGCCCAGTGCAACACCCTGCGGCGAGTGCACGTCCCGCGAGTGGTTCATGACCCCCTGCCGGGCCGGTGCCGCACCGACGAGACAGCGAGAGACCGTGCCCGACCTGCCCCCAGGCGCGGGCTGCGCGAATGGCCCCCGAGGAGGAGGAGGAGGAGGAGGAGGAGGAGGAGGAGGAGGAGGAGGAGGAGGAGGAGGAGGAGAGGAGGAGGAGGAGGAGGAGGAGGAGGAGGAGGATGAGGAGAGAGGAGGAGGAGGAGGAGGAGGAGGAGGAGGAGGAGGAGGAGGAGGGGCAGGAGGAGGAGGAAGCAGGGCAGGAGGAGGAGGAGGAGGAGGAGGAGGAGGAGGAGGAGGAGGAGGAGGAGGAGGAGGAGGAGGAGGAGGAGGAGGAGGAGGAGGAGGAGGGAGGAGGAAGAGGATCCGTATATCTGGCGCGTGGGCGCCAGATCCACGCATCGGGGAAGGTGTCCCCTCCCGGAGCATGAAGCCAACGCCGTCTCGCGTGGGGTCGGAGCGCGTCGATTCTGCGTGGACGCCGGGCCCGCTGCCAACCCACGCCTCCTCCTCCTCCTCCCTCCTCCTCCTCCTCCTCCTCCTCCCTCTCCTCTCCTCCTCTCCTGCTCCCTCCTCCTCCTCCTCCTCCTCCTCCCCTTCCTCCCTCCCTCCCTCCCTCCCTCCTCCCTCCCTCCTCCCTCCCTCCCTTCTCCTCCTCCTCCTCCTCCTCCTCCTCCTCCTCCTATTCGCCCATGTTTGAAGCGTCGGTGGCTGTCCCCGCCTCGACTTCTCTGCGTGCCGCTCCCGGGCTGAATCCATCCCGAAGCCCCCCCCCCCTGGCGGGCCGAGCCACCTCAGGGGCTCGAAGGGCAGGCCCCGCCCGTGAAGGGCGAATCCCGTCCTGCCCTTCAGGCCCCCCTGACCAGATTCCCACTCCTGGTCCTCCTCTTACAAACTCAACAGAACGATGGTCATGAGGACTAAACTCTGTTTCGCAGTCAGCGGCCGACGCCGAAGTACAAAGCGTCACAACGCCCGTCGACGGTTATGACTACTGGAGCTACGCGTCACGGGTTGCATTGTGACCTGAGGGGCTACACGGATCCAACACCGGCCCTAGGAACCCGTCCTCCAGCAACTTCTGTCGGCTTCGTTTACACATTCGAGGTCGTATGCGCAGCGCCGTGCATCTTTGCTCCCACGATCTATTTGTTCTAACGAATCACACTGGCCAGATGTCACAGCACCTGGCGTGATTTTTGGGGGTTGTAATTTGTTCGTTTGAAAGACGACGGCGAGAAGGAGGGCAACGACGAGGAGCTACCCGAGAGATGGTGCAACGACAGCGCGGGCCACGAGAACGACAAGGAGGGCAGCGACGACGCGGTCAACGACGAAGAACGACCGCGAGAGGGAGCAGCGACGGCGAAAAGGAGGTGCAGCGACGAGGCGGGCCGTGACGAGAGGCGACTCGAGAGGAGGGCCACGACGAGGATCGACGAGCGAAGGACGGCAACGACGAAGAGCGACAATGACTCGCGGACGGTGCGCCCGGCCGAACTCGGTCGCGGTAGCCGGACGCGCGCCCGAGGCCCGTGCGCCGAAGAGACGACGGGCAGGCCGCTGCGGCGGGTGCCCTCGACAACGACGAAGGCTAGGAGGAGGAGGAGGAGGAGGATGAGCAGGAGGAGGAGGAGGAGGAGGGGGAGGAGGAGGAGGAGGAGGAGGGGGAGAAGGAGGAGGAGGAGAAGGAGGAGGAGGAGGAGGAGGACGACGAGGCCGAGGATGAGCACGCGTGGCTCTGCAGGTGCGCGGCTTGCCTCGCGGCTGGCGGGGCCTCTGTGGCCGGGGCCTCTGTGTCATGGGAGTCCTTCGGAGTAGTTCTTGAACACGTGGAAATAAAAGATATGGACGCGGGCTGATGGCGCCACAAACCACTGACAGCCGCAAACGTCGAACCAACTACACCGGACTGGTGCACCCACCACCGAAAACAACGTCCCCCCCCATCAGCGCAGCATGGCTCACGGACGCGCAGCCAAACCGCAACGATTACGCATTATGGGCCGGCGGAATGAGCGAAGCGATTAAATAAAAGATATGGACGCGGGCTGTGTGAGGATGGCGAGGAAGAGGTGGAGAAGCAGGAGGAGGAGGACCAGTGTAAACCTAAGACTCATCAGCGATGTCGGACACACACCCTCCCTCCAAACTCCTTCGTCCTAGGCCCCTACAAAGTTTCCTTGCCACTGAGGGATATTCCCCGTTGGGGGACAACCGTGTGAAAATCCCGAAGCGTGCCAAAGCGCCATGCTCAGGACTTCAACGCCACGAGTCAACCTGACTGTTGCGTCTTGACGTTCCTGAACCGTGGCGTAACACCAATCCTGAGACTTCAACACCGCGAATTAATGTAACTGTTGCGCCCTGACAATCCATAATCATTCGAACGCATAATTTCTTGTACGTGGACTATGAAAACCACAGAAACTCAAACGAATACAAAAAACGAATGTGCGCGGCGCTGGGGCGAGAACCACATTTTGAAAAAGAACCGCCCTTAATCCGTGAAGCTCTCGAACAACGAATGTGCGGGGCGCTGAAGCGAGAACCACATTTTGAGAACCACACGCCCTCAATCCGATAAGCTCTTGCACTATGCTTGAAACGAAGGTGCGCGGCGGTAAGGCGGGAACCACATTTTGAAAAGGACCTGTCCCCTAATCCGTGCAATTCTTGCAAGTTTTTTTAGCCGAGTGTCCGCGGCGCTAAAGCGAGAACTACATGTTGAGTACCACCCGCCCTCGATCCGAGAAGCTCTTGCATAAATTTTGAAACGAGTGCGGCGCTGAGGCGAGAACCACATTTTGAACACCACCCGCCCTCAATCCGTGACCCTCTGGCAAGTTTGTTTAACCGAATGAACGCGGCGCTAACGCGAGAGATACTTTTTTTAAAAATAACGGCCCTCAAGCAGTGATGCTTTCGCAAATCTTTAAAGGAATGTGCGCGGCGCTGACGCGATAACTACATTCTGAGAGCCACCCGCCCTCGATCCGTGAACTTCTTGCAGCATGTTTAAAACGAACGTGCGCGGCGCTAGGGCGACAACTAGATTTTGGAAACACTTTTTTCAGCTTCAGGTTCATATATGGATAGGAAGTCTCAAGCGAAACTTCCGGCCTGTCCTTCGGACTGGCCCGGGGGTGCCACAGGGAGGAGTTTTTCATAAGGAACAGGAATGGAATGTTTTACGTGCTCGCGTTTCTGGTGCGACGAGGGGGGCCGCGCGCAGCGAGGCGGGCCGAAAAGTACGCCTTTCGCGCGCGGGGCGCTTGAGCACGCCGTCCGAATTGGCACGCCCGATATGGGTCGATATGGGTACGGGAAAACTTGATACGAAATCCTACGGCCGACGTTGTCCAAAACCGACAACGGCCGCCCCTGGGCAGGCGACTTGGTGCCTCAAGCGGACAACGTCCGCGTCGACGCCGACAACGGATCCCGCTCGGAATGAGCAAGAACAGCTGCTGGTCTTGGTCCCTTTCCTGTCCGTCGGACCTTCCTCGATCGTACAGAGAGTGGCAGGATCCCTCTTGCCGAGGGCATCTCAATCGTACCCATCTCGACCGCCCCTTTCCGAAGGCGCTGGCGCAGGAGGAGGAGGAGGAGGAGGAGGAGGAGGAGGAGGAGGAGGAGGAGGAGGAGGAGGGAGGAGGAGGAGGAGGAGGGGAGGAGGGGAGGAGGAGAGGAGGGAGGAGGAGGAGGGAGGAGGAGGAGGAGGAGGGAGGAGGGGAGGGAGGAGGAGGAGGGGAGGAGGAGGAGGAGGAGGAGGAGGAGGTGGAGGGGGAGGAGGAGGAGGAGGAGGAGGGAGGAGGGGAGGGGGGGGGGAGCACGAAGGCCACGGTGACGACGAGGGCGGCGGCGGCGGCGGCGACCGCCAGCAGCGGGCCTGCGTCGGCCGTGGGCCCCAGGGCAGGCCGTTGTCCGAGCCGCCGGTGCTGGAGGAGGCGAAGCCGCCGGCGGCGGGCGCCTGCCGAGGAGAGACCCCGTTTGACCGAGAGCCCACCGGGGGGGAGGCGAGAGGGAGCAGGCCCTCTCGGAGGGGCGGCGGGCGCCTGCCGAGGAGAGACCCCGTTTGACCGAGAGCCCACGGGGGGGAGGCGAGAGGGAGCAGGCCCTCTCGGAGGGGCGGCGGGCGCCTGCCGAGGAGAGACCCTGTTTGACCGAGAGCCCACGGGGGGGAGGCGAGAGGGAGCAGGCCCTCTCTGAGGGGCGGCCAGGCTCCTCAGAGGCCCTCGCGCCTGCCGCGGAGCCCTCTGGGCCCTCTCTCGCCGGAGGCGCGGGTCACTCCTCGGAGGACTTCTCGGGAGCCTCGCCGCCCTCTGGAGGATGCCTGCCCCCCCCCCTTCGCTTCCCCCCTGGGCTCGCCGCCGACTTCTTTCTCCACGGGGTGAGGGCCATACGGTCAGGTCGGGCATGTCCCCCTATAGGCGGAAATTGGATTAGAGATAAAAAAGAACGCCGAACAATACAAAACAAATGTCCCAAGATACAGAAAAATCGTCCCCCGACTATGTTTAAACTATTTTTGAATCTTCCTCCTGTAGAGGGACACGCCCGACCTAACCCTACGGTCGGGAACTTTTCCTCGGCGCGCCGCGGCGGCGGCCCCTCGCGGCACGCTGTGATGCCCTGCGGGCGGGCCGCACGCCGCTCAGCTCCGCGGGGCGGGATGCTGGGCCAGGCTCGGACCGTTGGTGCGGGACGGGAACGCGTTTACATCGGGAGCGTGCAAGAGGGGGGCGTCCAATAGGGGGGGGCGCAAATCATGGCCAGCCGCACGTGCGCGGCCCAGGGGGTGGCGGGGACGTCTTGAAACAAGAGGAGGCGCCATGAAATCTGGGGGCAAATCATGGCCCACGCCATGATGACCCCCCCCCCCTAGTCATCACCCCCCTCTTTGCCGCCCCCAGTCACAGTCGGGGGCCCGGCCACAAGAGACCTTCCCCAAGAAGCCCGGCCCTGAGACCCCAGGGCGCCCCTCGACCTTTCGGCGTGGGGGCCTCGCCCTTTCTCCGGCGGGGCCCTCGGATCCCGAGAAGCGCAGGGCACCCTGGAGGCAAGCAGGGTGCTTCTTGGCATGGGCCTCCGCTGTGGCGTGTCGCGCCGCAGCGTGCTGTGGACCGGAGTCGGCGGCGCGGCACGCTGAGCCCACGCGCCGGCTTCTCGGCATGGGCTCCTCCTCCTCCCTTCTCCTCCTCCTCCTCCTCCTCCTCCTCCTCCTCCTCCTCCTCCTCCTCTCCTCCTCCTCCTCCCTCCTCCTCCTCCTCCCCCTCCTCCCCTCTCTCCTCCTCCTCCTCCTCCTCCTCCTCCCTCCTCCTCCTCCTCCTCCTCCTCCTCCTCCTCCTCCTCCTCCTCCTCCTCCCCCCACCCCTCTTCCTCCTCCTCCGAAGACCGCCGGGCAGGCCAGCAGCGCCACACGAGACGCCGCCGAGACCGAACGCCAGCGAGGGAGGGAAAGCAGCAAACAGCTCGGGGACGGCAGCGGGCGGCACGCCCGAGGCGGAGAGGAAGGAGGGAGGAGGGAGGATCGGCCCAGACAGCCGGCGTCGTGTCGTGCTCTTTTAAGACGTCGCCCCCCAAAGGTTTAGGACCGGTTTTCCATCCCGAATCGCTCTTTCACGGTCCCGAGGCCCGGCAGTTAAGGCCCCCCCCCCCCCCCCTATATGCTGGAGGTAGCGAAAAACCTACCGCCGCGATGTTTTCGCGACTCGGAAGGTGGGTCTTGGGGAGGCTCGCTGTTCGAAGTTCGGGGGAGCGCTCTCTCCGCTCCTCTGGGGGGGGGGGGCTCCTGGCACTGCGGGGGAGGTTCTCGCCGCCGCGGCCGGCGCCGCCTCAAACGTCTGCCCCTGGACAAGCCTGGGGGGCGATTTTAGGATTAGGTTGAAGTCGGGCGTGTCCCCCTACAGGGGGATTTTCGACGAAAGATAAAACATACTCAAGACATATCCCCAAATGGTAAAAAGAAAACCAAAAATAGTCCCCAGACTATTTTTGGACACTTTCTGAATTTTACCCTTGTAAAGGGACAGGCCCGACTTAAGATTAGGTCCGGCACGTCCTCCTAAAGGCGGATCTTTTTTGGGAACAATCCATAACCAAATAATCTTCCCAAACAGTCAAAAATATTTGAAGCATCGTCCCCTGTGAACAAAATTTCTGCCCAGGTGTTCTCATATAGTACCAGCATCGTTACTGACAGTTCAGTCTTATTCGAGGCAGTCCGTGTTGTGCCTTGTTCGTAGCCTTCGCCACGCCCCCCCGCACGGGCAGCAAGAACCCCCCTCTGCCACCGTTCGGGGAGACGTAAGACTCGGGTACGGGGGACTCGGGTTGGCCCGACGGGGCCATCATAAACATGACGAGGCCCAATCCGAAATTCGACGCGAGCTCCCGCTGCAGGCATCCCACGAACACTGGACCGTCAAAATCCAGGACGCGCTCGTCAAAAAAACGTCGGCAAACCCGAGTTCCGGCTTACTCGGGTCTTGCGTTCCCCCGACTGTAGGGAGGAGGTATCGGGCGCCGCGGTACTCCGCCGCCGGCCTCCAGAAGGCGCTCCTTGGCAAGTTCGTCGGCTTCGACACCGCCTGGTTCCGAGGCTTTGCCTCCTCCTGGCCTCGGTCTGAGGCTGCGCCCCCCTTCTCCGTCACCAGCACGGCTGGAAAATCAAGGCGGTTGCCGCGGCGATTACGTTTCCCCCCGCTTCCTCCTCCTCATCCTCCTCCTCCTCCTCATCCTCCTCCTCCTCCTCATCCTCCTCCTCCTCCTCCGCCCTCTTCCTCCTCGTCCTCCTCCTCCTCCTCCTCCTCCTCCTCCGTCCTCCGTGCGCGTAGCTGTTCGCAGCCTTTGGGGACAACTGCTCGCGGCCTTCTCTGCGTAATTCATGCTCTGCGCGGCCCGCTTTGCTCCGACCAGAAGAGGTGCGCTCTCGACCCGCGAAGACCGGAAAGGGTCCTGCGTTTCCCCGAAACCGTACGCTCCCTCGGCACGGCCCTCCCTCCGAGACCGTCCGTGCGGACACCTGGCGCCGCGCTCGGCCGCAGAAGTTCCATCACACCGTTACCACAAGAAAGAACTGCATATCAGGAAAAAATCGGCGGCGAGAAAAAAAATAATAATCACTCACTGACATGAGCGAAAAAACGGCGGCGGGGCGATCCAATCCGAACATATCAGATGAAGTTCCGGCAGCGGGAGCTTCGGCCGACTCCAGGGCACCTGCAGGGAGCACCGTGGGCACCTTTAGTGCTAAGTCGGGCCTGTCCCCCTACAGGGGGGATTTTGGACGAAAAATTTGAAAAAGACCCCAAAAATAAATACCCCCCCCCATGGTCAAACAATGCTCAAAAAATCGTCCCCAGACTATTTTTGTACTATTTTTAGATTTTCCCCCTCTGTAGAGGGACAGGCCGGACTCAACTTTAATGAGCACCGTGGCCAAGACACCCCTGGCATGCTCACCAGAGACCGCGGCGGGCGAGAACGGGGGCAAGTAGGCCAGCGTACAGCACCCAGACCGAGACCCCTTCGGCCCTTCACGTCGACGGCTGCGCCTTCGGCTCGCGCTGCAATCTGAAGGGTGCCAAGCAGCAGCTGCTTTTGTGTGCAGGCGAGTTGGGCAGTCGCAAGCAAAACTTCGTCATGCGATGCCGCCGCGGTCGACAGCCGTGCCGCGAGCGGCTGCTCGGGGCAACCAAAGGGGGGCCGGCGGAGGCCAAGGGAAGGCCCAGACGAGCCAGTGGCAAGCGGCCGCTCGGGACCTCTCAGATCCGGCGGCTTCTGAGGATGCATCGGGCGCAGCGGCCGGTCCAGAGCGTTCCGGGACGTTCGGAAGGCGTTCTGGGAGGCGCCAAGGCCATCCATGCCGCTACCGGGCCTGACCAGGAGCGGCCAGCAGAGCCAGTGGGTGGCCAAGGAGGAGTGCAGCTGCCGCTTGCAAGGAGGCCGGCTCCCAGGCCAGAGCAAAACAGCCCCACACTCCTCGCCCTGTTGATCAAACTGTTGGGCCGTCAAATGGAGGAAGAAACGCTCGCCGTCCGTCCATGCGTGAGTAGAAGACAAGGATGGCCTTCAAAGACGTCGACAGCCTGCGCAATCATGGGGCCGAGCTTGGCCTCCGAAGTTTCCTTGCTGAAGACACCGGTCCATATTCGGTGCCACTTCGTATCCTCCCCGCCGCAACTGGGGCACTTCGAGCAGAGCTTATCCCCCACTTCACCAGCTGGACTCGGGTCGGATAGGATCTCCCTCTTCTCTCCCTCCGCCTCCTTTTTCCCTTCCTCCTCCTCCTCCGTTTTTTTTCCTCCTTCTTCTCCGCCTCCTCCTTCTACTCCTCACTCCTCATTCCCTTCATCCTCCTCCCTCCCTCCTTACCCTCCCCCTTCCTCCTTCCCCTCCTCCTTCTCTTCTTCTTCCTCCTCCCCGTCTTTCTCCTCGCCGTGGAGGGAGAAAGCCCCCCTTGCCCCAGGGCCTTGCCCAGCGACCGCGACACCTCCGACGCCAGGTCGCCGCCCCACCTCCTCGGGGGGCTAAGGGGGAAATGTGGAACTATTTGGGAACCGTTTTCGTGGTGTACGTTAACATGTTGGAAGTTGTTTGACTATTCGTTTTTTTTTTTTTTTTTGTCCATTTCTTCATGTTTCGTGTCCCTCTCATCTTCTTCGTCGTACTTAATTCTGTAACACTGACAAGCGGCGCAAAAGGATTCTAATTGTAATATACACAGTAGGAATCAATGTGTAATTCGCCCACGCAAATCTTTGAATTAAGGCGAGACAAAATTTTGGATCGCAGGAAGAAGAACAAACGAACACCATCGCCCCCTCTTTTCTTTTACGGGGCTGGGGAGGGGGGCAATGGTTTTCTGCTTTTCAATTGTAAGATACACACTAGGAATCTATGTGTAAATCGCCCACAAGGAGACCCGAGTGAAAAGAGGTACATGAATATTTTACTTGTCATCCACACTAAAACTTTTGACTGTAATCCGCTCACAGATGTCGCAGATAATTCTTATTGAGCAACGGCGCAACACGATTCTAATTATAATGTACACACCACAAATCAATTTGCACATGGAACAAGACAACACAACGAATTGTAATCTACACAATACAACCAACATTCAAATCTAAACCAATTGTATATAATCGTCCAAACAACAAATTTATTGAAATGGAGGCCAACAAAACACAAACAACCACCCCTCATCTCTTTTTTGTTTGTTTTCTGTTGTTTGTTCATTGTTGCTTTTTTCTTCGGGGGCGGGGCGGGCGCGAACAAAAAACAAGAAAATTGAAGGGGCGACGTTTTTTATTTTTTTTATTTTTGTTTTTTTCGTTGTTGTGTTTTTTTTTTGTCTTTTCCGGGAGTTCCAGAACTCTGTCCTGGCTTCCTTCCAAAGGTAATCTCCTTTTGTGGGCGATACCATGATTCTTATTGCGTGGATTTCACATAAAATCATGTTGTGCGGCCTTTCACTCGGAATCCTGTTCAGGGAGATGTGCACATTGACTTCTATTGTGCGGATTGCACATCGAATCGCTTTTGTGCGGCTTTTCAATCGGACTCTTTTTGTGAAAGATTTGCATTTTGATTTCTATTGTGTGGATTGCAACTCGGGTTCTTCTTGTGCGACTTTACAATCCGATTACTTATGTCGGGGATTTCCAGGTTGATTGGTACTGCGTGAATTCCAGATAAAGCCCATTTGCGCGATCTTCCAATAGTTTTTTTTTTTTTTTTTTTTTTTTTTTTTTTTTTTTTTTTTTTTTTTCCCCCCCCCCCCCCCCGTGGGAGATTTACCAACTGAATTCGACAGTGTGAGATATTTCCACCCCTTGAAATAATTGTGTTGCAGGCGGCTTGGCCTTCAATCCGGTAATTTTAATGGAGCATCGCATCCACCTCTAATCGAATCCCATGAGCAGTGGATCCACCCCGTTACTCGGATTCAATGAAAGATGGTTCCGTTCCCAATAGGATTCAAATAAAAGTGGGTCCACATCTATTAAGATTATACCCCAGGTGCTTCTATCCTGCATGGAGTTTTATTGGAGATGGTTTCGCCTCTAATGTGATACTATTAGAGGTGAATGCGTAGCGCATGCCTTTTAAATGCCCGTGGCCCCGTCCATAACAGGATCCCAGTAGAGGTCATTGGATTCTACTCGAGCTGAGTCCTTCCTTGATCGGATCTATTTTGTATTGCTCCCTCCTTACTATGATTCTGTTAGAGGTGGATCCACATCAAAATTCCCATAGCGCTAGATCCATCCCTGACGACATTATGTTGGATGTGGCTTCGCATGGCCTAGCATGCTACAAGGCGCTGGCAGAGGGTAGCAAACAAGTGTTAGGTACTATTGGCAAGCCTCAGTAGGGCATATCAGGGGCTAGCAGAGCCTAGAACGAGCTTGGTCGGGCTTGTCAAGGCTTCGCTGGGCTTGGCGGTTGGCTCGCAGAACATATCAGGGCTTAGCAGAGGACCGGCGGGGTTTAGCCGTGCATAGCAATTCTTGGCAAGGCGTGGCCGGACCCAGGAAAGCTCAGCAGGGGCCATCAGGGCATAGCACGGCATCGCAATGGCTAGCGCAAGCTTATCGGGGCAAGGCGTAGCAGCGATTAGAAGGGGCTTAGCAGGGCTTAAAAATGATTCTATTAGAGGTGGCCCCAGTCCCCATCGGATTTAGATAAAAGTGTATCCACATCTAATACGATTCTACTCGAGATGCTGCCGCCCTTCATGGAGTTCCATTGGGGGTGTATCCACCTCTATTGGGATTCTATTAGAGGTGAAACCACACCGCATGCAATTCAATTGCCCATGACCCCGTCCATGACACGGATCCACCACTCATGTAATTCTATTAGAGCTGCGTCCTTCCTGGTTCGGATTTTTTGAAACATATTACCTTCGTAAGATTCTGTTAGAGGTGGACCCGCCTCCTATAGGATTTCATTCGCAATGGGTTCATGACTGATGATATTATATTCAATGTGGCTCCGCGTGGCTTAGCAGGCATCGCGCGGCTTAGCAGGTTACCGAGGCGCAGGCAAAGCTTAGCAGTGCTAGCAGGCGTTAGTAAATTCTGGCAGGTCTCAACAGGGCATATCAGGGGCTAGCAGGGCTTGGTCGGGTTTCTGAAGTCTCAGCTGGGCCTGGCATGTGGCTAGTACAAACTTATCAGGGCCTAACCGAGGGCCACAGTGCTTAGCAATGCCTAGCAGGGTTCGGCTAGGCCTCGCAGGGCTTAGCAGGGGCCAGCAGGGCTAAGCACGGCATCGCAGTGGCTAGTCACAGGTGGCCCAAGGGGTCCTGGATTCTACTAGAGGTGATTCCATTTCCAATCTGATTCCAATTGGGGTGGGTCCTCCTCGAATAGAACTATATTCCAATTGGTTTATCCTGAACCGGTTTCTGTTGGAAGCGGGCACACTTTTAATGCGATCAAATAGAGGTGGGCCCACCTTTAGTGGATGTGTGTTTGTACACGCGGCTCCCTCCTTAACAAGGTTCCTTTAGAGGTGGACCCACCGCTAATATGATTCGAATAAATGTGAGCTCTTCTTTGATCGTCGTTTCTTTCAGGGTTGTTCTATCAGTAACAGGATTTTGTTAAGGTGGTGGACCCATTCTTAATAGGATTGTATTACAGATGGGCCCTCCGTAATCGGATTACAGTAGAGGTGCTTCCACCCCTGATCTGATTATATCGCAGGTGGCTCCAACCCTGCTATGACTCTGTCAGAGGTGAGGCCGTTCCTGCTAATACTATATCACAAGTGGCTCTATCTCTGATCGAACTTCATTCGAGGTGGCGCCATATCTAATGCGAACCGATCAAAGGTGGGCCCATCCCTCGTAGGACGCTGTCAGAGTTTACTAAATTCCTACCAGGATTGTATCAACAGGTGCAATATCACCAGTGGATTATATTAGAGGTTGCTCCATCCATATAGGATGCTAGAGGTTGCGGGTTCAATCAGAAGTGGATCCATCCCTCAGGTGGCCCCATCGTTGGTAGGATTCTGTCAGAAGTCGCTCCACCTCTCAGATGATTTTAATAGAGGTGTATCGAACCCAAATGACATTCCATACTATTGAGGCGGGCCCCATCCCTGATAGGACTCTATTAGAGGTGGCCCCATTCTTTGTGGGATTTCTGGACGGAGAATGAGAGAGAGAGAGAGAGAGAGAGAGAGAGAGAGAAAGAGAGAAAGAGAGAAAGAGAGAGAGAGAGAGAGAGAGAGAGAGAGAGAGAGAAAGAGAGAGAGGAAGGGAGGGAGGGAGAGAAAGAGAGAGAGATATAGATATAACCAAGAGAGAGAGAGAGAGAGAGAGAGAGAGAGAGAGAGAGAGAAAGAGAGAGAGAGAGAGAAAACAAGAAAGAGAGAGAGAGAGAGAAATACAGAGAGCGAGAGAGAAACAGAGAGACAGAGAGGGAGAGAGGGGCAAACCCGTACTATTCCCATATTTCCCTCCACCCTCGGGAGGGGGGGGGGTTGGGCTCCGCCCTTGCCGGGTGCCCCCCTCCCTCCCTGGCGGGTGCCCCCCGGGGGGGAGGGGGAGCAGGAGACCTCGTCGTCGTCGTCGTCGTCGTCGTCCTCGTCGTCGTCGTCGGCGTGGTCGTCGTCCTCGTCGTCGTCGTCGTCGTCGTCGTCGTCGCCGTCGTCGGTGCTGTCGGATCTCAGGGGGTCCTCCGCGGCCGCTTTTCGTCATCCAGTTAAAAACATAAAAACAGGTGGCTGTCCTCAAAAAACACCAATAGTCATCGGTGGTGACAAAAAAAACGCGCGAGGGTCTGTATAATTTTGCACCTCTGGGGAGCTTCTGGTCGCCATGGCCGGATTCTGTTCGAAATCCTCGTCAAGACGCGCCCCAAGACAGCTGCGTGGGATCGTTTTTGGAGGGGGATGAGGAGGCGAAGTTGGAAAGACATGAGAGAGGGAAGCTAGATGTGCTCGCGCCGTATTTGGCACCCTACCCCTCCCACGCATGCCTTCGAACTGTGCTGATTTTGTACATACATCCGCCGACGGGCGGCATGGCTGAATTGGATCCCCAAGAGGACACCATCTTGTTATGCGCAGTCAGACAGGGGTACCACCTGTGTACGTTGGAGAAGGAGGATGACCAGGAGGAGGAGGGGGAGGACGAGGAGGAGTTGGTGGTGGATGAGCAGAATGATGAGGAAGGACGAGGGCGAGAAGAAGCAGCAGCAGCAGCAGCAAGAACAGGATTGGGAGGAGTCATAGGAGCCGTCGGACCAAAGGAATGCGGAGGGGAAAAGAGCGAGGCGACAACGACGAAGACGGACCCGGATCCAGAAAAGTGGCCCGCGCTGGGGCGAGAACGCCATCATGAACGACGGGAGCAAAGTGCCGATCCAAAACTGTGACCCACGCGCAGCGGCGGATATTGGGGTGGAAGGGGCTGGAGGAGCTGGAGGACCAGGGGAAGGCAGAGGAAGGAGGACGGAACCAGATCCAGGAAAAAGTGCCCCCCCGCAGGGCGGAGAGCGCCATT